ATGACCAGTGTTTGCTAAAGTGGTTAGCTCACAATGGCCACACACAGGCTAGTCTGTCTCAATTGCAATTCGAACAGACAGGATAAACCTGGGACATAAGAGAGAGTACATCTCCCCTCACACTGCATACAAGACTTTTCCATCTATTCCAAAATGAATCACTATAAAGAGGAGATGACGATTTGTAGGCCTATCCTAATTATTAACAAACGTCCAAAGAGAGATGAATATCTCTCCCATGATTCATGGTGAAAAACAGTGTACTTGACCAATTTGAAACTGACAAAACTGAGATGACAGAGCCTCACTGACGGAAAAGGCTCTACACAGTCCACCGTACCTGGGGACTACCAAGACCTGACCTTTGACGTGTTCTTACTTAGTGGTTGACCAGAAGACAGTTACCTGACCTGGTCTGACATACATCTTGTTATTGAACACTTTGAGCTCCAAGGTTAAGACTCATTCAGAGAGGATGAGACCGGTTTAGAACATGCTACTGTCTAGCCAGAGCTATCTTAGAGAGATATTGGAACAAAACATCTACGGACCAACTCAAAATCTCATGCTGTAGTAATCTGTGTCTTTCCTACAGGTCCAGATGTGATCTTATGATGGACTGAATTTACACCATGTGAATAAATGAAATACTGTCTTGTAAGTGCTGGCATGTAAGTAAATAGGTTAAAGTTTTCCATAAACAGGAGGCTAGAGCAGTGGCCAAAGCCCTAACAAGCCAAATAACTGAGATTATCTCTGTTTTCCTGGGTAATGGCATCAAATTTACAGAGGTGATGATGTAAAATGGTAACAGTATGACATTGCCTTCACAGTTACCCCTTGTAGCCACGGCTACTCTCCCTCACCTGGAGCTAGGGACTTGGGTACTAATCAAGGGCCACAGGTTTTCCTTTAATTGGTTTTCGGTGTCCTTTCCAAGTGCTTTTCACCACCGAAACCACAGTGAAAGTCATGGGAAGGAATACTTCCACGTCCACCCAGCCGTGTATGCCTATCCCAGAGCCCTATGACGACTTTGAGCCCTTCATCCCAACTCAACCAGCTCGACCTATGCAGACCAGACGTTCTAAGTACAGCACGCCAGAGGAGTAACTTACCTGTGTTCAGGTAACCACAAGTCACTCCAACTCGAATGAGGACATCACGGTATTTTTAATTGACCACACATATAGGCATAGGTACATAACATTCATTGCTTCGCGGGGACGTGAGTGACGGTAGAAGGGAAGGGAAGGGAAGGGAAGAAGAAAGAAGCAGGCAGCAAACCTACACCTACACCTACACTACACATATTGAAATACAGAGTGACCAACGAGGAACTGACGATGGAATCCAGGTCCACACGACCGTGGCACCCTTTCCAGTTGCCACGTTGGGAGTGTTAGGTCTCAAGGGTTCATGTTGTTTTTGACTTGTATTTCTATGATTATGGTGTTTCCTATTCTGTACACATTTGACAAACATCCACCTGCATCCAACTCAACCACACTGATATCGCATAGTCTTGGAGCATTCTTCAAATTAATAATAAAAACAATAAAAAGATTGTTACTTATAATTGTTACTCAATTATTTGTTTAATCCCTCACTAGCAAGATACAATTTCCACGACAAATACTACACACAATTATCCATAGTACACATATACAAATAATGTACATATCTACACATATAACATAGGAGTGGCATCATCAACTTGTCTGTGAGTTTAATGCTCTTACAGTGCAGTGTACAAAACGTTTCCCAAAGCGTGAGTTTTTGTAGAGCAGCTGTCTGTGAAGCCAGATAGGAGAAGGGTGAAGCATGAGTTAATAAAGTGGCTGGGATTTTGTACTATGGTATTTGCTCTGCAAGCAGTGGCAGTATTAATGAGGGCTGGCAGGTTGGGAATGGGAAGACCTATTACTTTGGAGGAAGTGTTAGTGATTTTAAGAAACTTATTAATGAGGGCTGGCAGGTTGGGAGTGGGAAGACCTATTACTTTGGAGGAAGTGTTAGTGATTTTAAGAAACTTATTCCTATTGGTGAGAGAGAGCATGGTGAAGTACCAGGTAGCACAGTAGGCTACAAGAAGATGGGTCCACCATCATCGGGTCAAGATTCTAGTTTGTCCATTGTTTTGGTTTATGACAAATACCTGCAAATGTAATTTAATTCCCATCAGGCTCAGCTATACTTTGTTAATTAGCAAACATCTTAGCGAAATAAAATCTTTAACTGAGATGTTGATCATTAGTTTCACATCAGCATGATAGGTATTTTATCATGCTGATGTTAACATTAAGGTCAAGGCACTGGTCTGGATACATACAACCTACCAGAGCCGCTAGAATGCTTTCAGACTCATCTTTCCTTACAGTTCTTAATTGAACTTGATTATAAACTTGAACCAAACGTGTGCAGAAGTTTCAACATTGACTGATTCGCAACCATTACACAACTTAGAACCAAATATGCCAAGAAAAAGTATACACTCACACTATAGCCATCCAGGAAGATGGGATCTGAGGGTAGACAGGAAGGCACTCTACTTTTCCATAGCGCTCAGAGAAGTAGATCCCTGCCACACCAGAAACCTTGTTCCCTTCAAACTGAAGCAGCGTGTTCTCCTTGGGGTGATCTTTAGCCCAGTTCCATGCCTGCCCTGCTATCAGCACTCCTCCTCCAGCTTTCAGAAAGGCCACCAGGTCCTTTACGTCTGCACCCACGCTGTAGGCATCAGTCACATACACCCCCACGTTGCCACTAAAGGCCCCCACAACTTCTGCTTGGAAGCTGGATTTGCTGAGATTATCAGAGACTGACTTGACGTTTTTGTGGACCCCCACAGACAAGTTTTCAGATCCATCTCCTCTCAGCCAGGTCACAGCGTTCTCTACCAGAGCAGGAAAGGCGGTCAGGTAGCCCTCATGACCCAGGACCACGATCCTTCCACTGCCGTACAGAGAGGCAGCCATCAGGACCTGGCCTTGGCTGTTCATTGCTAAAGGGAAGGCATGGTCTCCTATCAGCACCAGGTCACTGGGAACACAAGGACCCCGGAAGTCCAGCTCTCTCAAGCCTCTCAACAGGGTCATGTAGGCTTTCTCATGTCGGGTTTGTGTAGGCTTGGTGGACATGGTGAGAAGGACTGATGAAGATCAGATGAAGAGGAAAGTGGTTTTGTTAGCACATGAGGTTTAACAATTGTTCTTGGATGGATATATGCTGTGTCAGTCTGGCTGTCCTGTGGGAATAGAAAGAGAGCTGACAGACATTAAAACAAAAAAAAAAAGTACTACTGATGACTTTCTGTTTATGTTACAAATCTACAACAATAAAGTGAGAACAACAAAAAAATCAATCTACATCATCAGCTTCAGAGACAAAAAGTAAAACTGGTAACATAATATGCATTACTGAAAGTCTGCTGATTTTCATCACACACTAAAACAAAAAAAAGTTACATGGTTACCTGAACGTTGTCTTTCTGATTGTATTATCACACTGTGGCCCAACGGTTTCCAAAACAGGCAATCCACCAAGAAAACTACCTGACAGGAGAGAAGAGTGGATATAAATGAGAGCAGGAGGAAGTATTTGAGTGAAAAAGGTAAAGACAATATGAGGAGGGGCTTCAGAACAAGCCAATGTGAGTGAAGGGAAAGATCACTGGACAGCACAGACAAAACTGTGCTGTCCTGTGTTTGTCCTTATTCCTCAGGCACTGAAACAGTTGGTTGAAACTGTCCTACAGGTATGGTCTCCTGTTCATTAGGCTAAGTTAGTGCACAGCTGGACAAGAATTTGGCCCACCCCTTCTGAGAACACTCAATCATATTGCTGTGTACTGACAAATTCATAACCTTTAACTAAAAAGATCATTAAGTGACATAATATATATAATTTTAACTGATGGCAACATGTGCAGTTGATAACCAGCTGATAATTTTAAAAGTTCAGTTACTTGAATGCAGGAGATTAAGTGCAGCACAGTAAGTAGTATTATTAACTATATATTTAATCTCTAACAGATGGATTTTGACCCTTAGCTAATCATTACAATTTCAGGGACATTTTGGAAAATGGTCTGTATTTGTTAGCTTGTTTCTAATCTTTCCAACCGCACAAAGCGGTTTTATAATACATCACATTCACCCTATTCACACATTAATGCCACTGGCATCAGAAACAGAATTTACCTTGGAAACTAACAGTAATCTGTTACTAATCTTAGCATTCAAGAAGAAACGGGTGAATAAAAGGCAGCACCAGGTAGTGAAGTAAATGTTTATTAGTCTCTTTTCCATTGAAAGGGAAGACAAATACATATTGTGGTGAAAACAGAATTATGCTGAAAAAGACATGTTGACTTTGTAAAACAAGACTTTCTACGTATAGTGTTTGTCACAGCTCGAGCAAGCATAGTAACAGGAATACAAGGGTAGGACCCAAATGCAGACGCCTGTGGCACTAAGTAACACAAATAGAGGAACACAGGCTTACTGGATGGTGAGGGAGGCAAGGGTCAAAACCACAGAAGGCAGTCCACACAGGTAAACAAATCCGACAAGGACCCAGCAAAAAATAGAAAATCCAATGGTCAGGCAATAATAATAACAATCAAAAACAAAATGGTAAGGCAGACCAAATCAGGGAAACAATAAGTGAAGCATACAGCAACATAACATAGGGTGACTACTAAGAAGACAGCAAAAAAGGACTGGTCAGATACAGCAGGGCTGATGAGATAAGTGGGAACAGTTATGTAAATGAGTGGGGCAGTTAGGTGATATGGAAAAGAGGGAAAGTCTGAGGGCATCTGCCAGACAGATGGAAAAGGGCAATGAAAGGACTGGGGAAACAGGAAAGTTTGAAGAGGAGGAACAGAGACTGTAGGTGCATCTCAAGTCTCTTATTTGTCTTTTCCTCGTTCCTCGCTTGAACCAGAAGTTGTTCTGGTCCACCATCTTGCAGACCCTCCGAAAGCACTTATTTGTGCTCCGAGGATCGAGGAGCGATCTCTAAGGAGCTATGAGCGAAGATACGCGAGTGCATCCTTTGCGGAAGTCTTTTACTGACCGACACGCCCCCTTATGGTGTAACCATTATATTGATTTGACGATGATGAAGTTGTTTAACACATCTAGATGTGAATACCAGGAAATGAAAGCTGAAATTCTGAACTCTTGTCTCATTCTCATCTTTTGATCTTAAACCCATAAATGTCTTCAATGAACAACAAAAACAAAGGAATTTGCCTTACTGTTCCAATACTTTTGGAGGGGACTGTAAACAAGGAGTCCGACTAAACTGGTCACTAAACTGCGTTAAAGTCTCTCTATTATGACTTTATTAGAGTCCAAGCACGAGAAACGTGGAACTGAATGAATCTTTTTTTTCTGCAAACAAATCACATTTTTGGCAGCTTAACTAAAGTCCACTGAATCCGCCTGCGGTGCGTTATGGCTGCGCCGCGGATGGCCGAGCTACTTGCTGCAATTCCAGTCAATGCTTCTGAAACCACCATGAGTTCAAGCACACATACAAGCACACACCTGGTTGCACTTAAAAACCACACCTCTAGCAGCTGCTTAAAACTACATCTTACCCCTTGAATAGGGTGACCAGATGTCCCTGATTTTGGTGGCCTGTCCCCGTCTGGAGCTGTCCCCTGAAATGTCTTGTTAATAATAGACTGTATAAGGCGTTAACAGACCTGAAATCAGATTTTACGTGGCCAGAAAGACTAGACAGCAGAGCATACAGTGCGTGCCGAAAAGAATGTGCTCTGTATCGCCCAGTCTCTTTACATCTACAGCTGCTTTTATCTGAATCAAACAGACATAACGTGCAAACAAACATTATTTTATGTCCGTGGTAATAGCAAAGTGATACTTTAACATTTCTTTTAACAGAATAATCACAATTGTGGCCAATAAGTGTTTATAGTTTACAGCGTAACCATGCATGACATTTATGTGATTAGCCTATACGGAAGGCAATATATAGGCCTGTTGTTGCCGATGGAATATGTGTTTGGTAGGCCTATGTCTAATATCATTGTTTACATTTGGAAAACGGAATGGACCCTGTAATTAACATGTCTTACAGCTGAGTTGTTATGCAAAGCAAAAAAAGGATCCAGGAGCAGATACAGGGTTAGGGCAAAAAACAAGAGGATTTATTGACAGAATGAAGGTTGAGGTCTCTGGTGCGTGGTGGTCGAGAGTGGCAGGCAGGCAGCGAGACCCAAAAGAGACTCCAAAACAGGCGGACAAGCAGAGCTTCCCCAAGCAGCGATCCCCTGAGACAAAAAAAACACACATTAGATGATGGCAACACGAGTAGAGAAACACTAGCAGAGTGTTTGGCCTGATGAGTGGTTGACCACATAGGTTAACTGACGACCTGGCGAATACTGGAGGAATGAGCCGGGTATAAATCAGCAGTGGTGATTAGTAGATTGACTTCAGGTGTGTGGGAAGCTCCAGGAACTTCAGGAACACCTGCAGACATACAAACAACAAACAACAGACAGAAAGTAGACAGACACACAGGGAAGGGGAAAAAAAATAGGACAAACTAGGGACCGGGAAGGATGAGCCACCAGATCACCATATTAGTTATATATAAAATAAAGACATGACCTACATTATTTAGCTTGCTGTGTACCAACCGATCCATTCATTTTTACCTGTTGAAATACCTTTAAATTGCCAACACAACCTATGTAAACCACTTGAAGTGATTGCAGCTTCCACATATTGACTGAAAAGTAGATTTTGCCTCAAAACGACTTGATTTAATTTAGAAGTTATATTTGACAGATTATAACTCACCTAGTACTTTTTACCTCTTAAATTGCCTTTAAATGGCCAAAACAACACATAAAATGCATTATTCTACTTGCCAGAAAGTGATTACAGCCTCTAATTATTTCATATATAATAACATAAAATTTTTTAATGACATGACCACCAAACCACAAATGTCCCCGTTTGTCATTTCAGAAATCTGGTCACCTTACCCTTGAACCTCATGGTGGAGCTAGAGGGTGTGTCAAGGGATCACCCACTTCATTAGGAGTCATAGTCTGGGAACCATGAGTTTCTGTACCATATTCTGTGCCAATCCAGAAGGTAGACATTGACATATTTTGTGGATAAGTAAAAACTTTGACCTATTGGTGGTAGATGAAAAGTCAGAGCTACATCAAAGTATTTATTATTCAACCTTTAGGCACCATGAATATGTGTACCACATGTAATACCTATCCATCCAATAGCAACATCAACCTCATGTTGGCGTTGCTGTCACGGTCACAGACAGGTGCAGTTCAATGATTTATTGTCCATAAATGAATAACCTTACTATATAAGCTATGTTGGTAGGCAGGCAGGTACAGGAAGTATTGCAGAGGGCCGGGAATGAGAGAGTGTGGCTGAAGAGAGGGATTGAGGAGCTAACTGTGACAGAACCCCCACTCAAGGGGCGGATCCCAGACGTCACAAAAGGCTGGTCAGAAACACCAAGCAGGGAGGGTCAATAGGGTCGGGAGGAGGGCTTCAGGAGCAAGAAGCAAGAGGGTGGTGCAGAAGACCTCAAGCGAACAGCCTGGTCTGAGGTAGCAGGGAAAGCAGGTCTGGAAGGCCACTTGACGGACGACTTGGAGGTTGGTGATGTAGGCGGTACCCTTTCAGAAGCCGGTGGCGAAGGCAGAACCCGTCTGGAGGCTGGCAACAAAGATGGCCTTGGGCAAAAAGTTGTTGAGAAATTTCACTAAGAAACACAAATGTCAACCTCATTTTGGTGTTACAGTAAAAGTCAAATGGTCACCAGAAAGTCAGTAGGATTCTTCCTCTGGTTACCATAAATGTCTGTACAAAGTTTCAATCCAATCCATCCAATACTGAAGTCTGAATGCTGTGGATGACCAACAGATACTCTGACATTGCCATCCCTAGAACAACATCAGGGTGTCTAAAAACAATGGGTAATGCCCCTAACAAAGTGTAAATTCCTCTTCTGTTCCTCTGATCTCCATGTCTCTATCTTCCTTCTGTTTTGTCTTTTTAAATACAGAATCAGAATAATTCTATAAAAAACTGTATATTTCATATCTTGGCACATTTCTTTCCTTCTTCACCCCTTAGAAATTCAGAATCAGACTTTGAGTTCCTACTCCAGGAGTTTGATCTCCAGAATGGGGTTCTGGCTCATGGCCCACTAGACATCTCGACCCACAGAATGAGCCTTATGAGAGATTAAGGGAAAGATCCTGCATCATTATCTGTCAACACTGTGTTTGTTTTCATTTCTTGGGGCTTGATTACGTGTGTTGAAACAGAGACACACCCTGACTGTGACTGTATATGAAACCTGTTCATCCAGTCTGCAAAATTCAATAGTCAATGTTATTGGATGCTGAGACTATAACGGTAATACACTGACTGTGAAATGTCACATTTGTGTATTCATTTCTTGAGAAGACCTTTCTTGAAGAGTTTGTAAAATCTAATAAAATGTATGCAATAATGTTACACAAACCTTTTCATTTTTATGGTAGAGAAAGAATCATAAGGTCAGTCCTAGGAAATAATCCTTGCTAAGCAGCAAGATCAGAAGTCCCAGATGTATATTCATATTAATGTAGTCTCTGTAGTACCATGTACATGTATAAAATATAGGTTTATTTATTTGTCATAACTGTGACAGTATT